GCACTCACTGAATCTCCACAACATTGCTATTGGAGAGGGTTATGCAAATATATGCAATTCATGGCTCATTTTGGAATAAATCAATCTCAATTAAAATTAATGAACAAAAAGTACAGAAACAGATGAAGCAATAAAGCCATCCCCCCCTCCCCCTTCTTCCCCCTATCTTTCTCTCCCTTTTTCTTGAAAGAAAGCTAGTTTCTTTTCTTTTTGCTTTTTGGGGAAAGAAGCAGACAGTTTTTATTTTTATTTTTATTTTTTTAAACAATGTCAGCAAACAGAAACTGTCTGTTGCTATCCAAAAATACCAAGCAATGTTAGTAGCCATAGAAACAGAAATAATTCTTGGCATGTCTCTTTTCTGTAAGGTGTTGCTTCCAGCTGAAAACAAACAAATCCCCACTACCCCTTTTGGAAGACGCTATCATCTTCTCTGCCTTTGATTTTATTCATTTTTAACTACATGGTCAAAATAAGGTAAAATGTCACCACTTGCTCAATATTTATGAAGGAGGAAGAAACAAATAATATGATGTCAGCCTTCTGCCTTCACTCTGTCTTGTCCTTCCTATTGCCTTGGCCTGAAATCCCAGCAAGCTCAGCACACAACATGATCTCAGCCTGCAGTACCTACCAGCCTGGCAGAGATGGGTGCTCACCCTGAGCAAGAAGAGAAGCTTGGCCTGGCTGAGTGTCCACTCTGCAGAGACATGCCCTTGTGGACTCACCAAATGGAGAATGAGCTCTTTGGAAAATCTCGCTGGATACCATCAGTGGGAAGCAAGGTGAGCCTTGAGTTGTGCTTTCTATTCAGAGTGACTGGCATTACAGCTGAGCTCTGCCAAAGAGGCCGATGATCTTTGGCTCTGGTCAAAGATCAGCCAGTATTCGGGGAAGAGAGAGGCACACTCTCTCTGACTAGTCAGGTACACATCACCACACAGTGAGGAGCACAACTGAACTATGGCTCTTGAATGCCTGAGAATTTAGGGAGACACCTGACGCACGAATGGCCACAAACATGCACTCCACACTTGCTCTCTACAGCCATTATTTTTGTCTGCTGGTTATTTCTGTGTCAGGATCGCAGTAGGACAAGTTTGGACTTTTTGGCCTGTTTATGCTACAGTTATGCTCAGCTCTACCACATAATGAATCGTTTTAAAGGCTGTGAAGACTTAAGTTTTCACTGACCCTTTCTTGGACTCCCTCTGGGAAAGCAAATTTTGGTCTCAGTGGTGAGAGAGAGGATTTCAGAAATGGATGGGTTCCTTAACTGGCCACACTGCACTGAGATGATTGGTTTCTGTGGGCTCTTCCCATGCAACTTCCTAGTCAGCTAGGCCCTTCATATGTTAACCCTTTACAGTCTGATGTATTTCCGCACATTCTCTCCTAAGTTTCAAAATATTCAGATATTACCTTTTGCCAAAAGAGAACCAGCTCACAGGAAAGCAGTCTGCAGAGCAGAACTGGTAAGGCCAAGCATGGGAGGAAGCTAAAGGGGAGCATGGATGGGTGGAGGTAGTCACTGCAATGGACAAATTCTCTCTTCTCCACCGCTAGGACCTCCGTGGGGAGGGAAGTGCATTGAGAGGGGATTACAAAGAAAGATGCTCTGGGTGTTTCCCACTCTGGTCATCAGCCCCAAATGAACGTCTCTTTCCTCCCTTCCCCCAGCTCCCACCCTCTTGATGAAGGCATTAGTGACAGGACAGGCTACAGCTAAACACAGACTAGCTACAATCTACAGTCCATCCAGGGCCATTCTCCAATCAGTATGGCTTTTAGCAGAAAGACAGGACTGCTCATTTTCATTTTCCCTCCCCCTCTGCCAATTACTTACGCACTACTGCTATAAATCTTTTGTTATCCTGTTGATGACTGCAACTGGACTTTTTCTGATCAGGTCCCAAAGGTCAGCTTGCATGCTTGATGCCCTTGCAAGTTACCCTGGGCAGTTCCAGGTGCTGCCACTCACTGGGACACACAGCATCTCCCAGCAGAGCTCCCGATGTGTTCAAGCTAACCATACTTCAGTTTGAGAAAGTCTTTGATTAATCTGTGGTAAACCCTGATCACAAAACTCCTGCCTGACAGACTTATGTGTTTTGAAGCCTGTCAGTCTGGCTAAGCCATTTCAGTGTGGACACCGGGTACTAACCACAGGGGAGTCTATGTTCAAAGGGCTGAGGGTGAGGATCAGCAGAGGACTGAGATGGAGCTAGTGCCATAATTGTGATAGATGTCTTTGATGCTCAACAGAGATCCCACTGACCCTGACCTTGACAAGTGTAGTGGGGAATGTGCAAAATTATCCCTTTCCAGAGGAAACTTATTTGAAAAGCCACTTGATGATGCAGTAAGGTCCCCATCATGACCACCAGATGTTGTGTCATCTCATTACAATGTGATGTTACAATGCAGGCAGGAAAATGTGATGAATTGACATCATCCCAGAAGACATTTCAGGGCACTTTGAATGCCTTGCTGCAGAATCAAGAAAGCTGGAAACTTAACCTGGGACAATTGCGCACAGCCAAGAGCTGAATCAGCTGGGCTCCCACCAGCCTTCTAGGAAACAGCCTCATCAAATTCAAGTCCCATGTATTTAGCAGAACAGGCTTCTTCTGAGTCTCTAGCCTGCCTGAAAGCAAGACGCTTCCACAGCAGCTAGCTAATGATAGCAATGCTTAGCGTGAGCACAGTGCTCTTCATCTCCAAAAATCTTTTTACAACTAATGCTCAAAACCCCACAGGGCAGGAAAGTGTTATGGAGCCTTTAGAGAATGAAATTGAGGCAGGAGGAGGGAACAGAACATGAATCTGGTCATCGAGGCTTGTTTAAGAGCTGAGGATTGCATCCCAGAACATAAGCTCATTGGGAGGAAAAGATCAAACGAGAAAACTCTAGGCCTAAGGTCTCTCTGAAGATGAACAGCAAAGGGAAAGCAAACTTGGAGATAAGTGCCAATAGCTGTGCTGAACGCCCACATTAAGGAAGCTGCTAGGGGCTTTCAGAAAACAAATGAGGCCCAGAGTATTTAAATTCTACTTTTCCCCTTTGCAAAATCCTCTTAGCATGTCCTGGTTCACTGGAGATATCCCAGCATTTGGCATCACAAATTCCTGAAGACTCCTTGCAGAAGTCATGTCACATCAGGATGTTCTTGGAGGAACTCTCAGGAGAATAGGGGGCAGCAAAATGAAAAAAAAAAAAACCTTCAAAGGCAGAGAGGAGAATGTTTTAAAGGATTGACTAAAGCTGTGCAGGAGGGCCTTGGCAACCTGATTAGGAGGGGTATTTGGTATGGAAATCTGGGCCTTGCTCACTTGTAGTTTTTGCTTTATCATTTACCTTAATGGGCTACTAATTCAAAACCAGCTGTAAATAGAGCTGGCTATGAAAAAAATGAACATTGCCTGTCTGTGGAATTTAAGGATATATAATAAAAATAATCATAAAAAAGAAAAAGCCCTGGGTTTTCCATCAGGCAAAAATATTTGCCATTGAAAATTTTGCTTAAAAAGAACACCCAAAATAGGAAAACTCCTCAAAACCTTACATCCCAAACAGCCTCAGCAACTTCAATTTCATATCCAAGCACAAGTTTCATTTGCAGTATATACAATAATGGTGTTTAATTGGATTTATTTTTCCACGCTAGGTTCCCAATGGCCTACTTTACTCCTTTTCTCAGCTCCTTGAATGTTATTTACAAATCACTCTCTGGGATTTAATTTTAATGGTAGCTTGATTTCTCTTTTTTTCCTTCCTTTTTTTTTTAGGTACTTTTCTTTAATTGTATTTGCAGATTTGCCTTTTAAATAGGCAATTGTGGCTACATCCTGAGCCTGAATAAGTTGCCAAGAGCAGAGCTTCATTTGAAAATGCAGAGTAGTTAAATGGAGCTGATGTAACACCCAGCATTTATTGTTCTTTTCATGGGAGTACCTGCAGGTGCTTTACTTGGGCAGGTGCCCTTTTACAAAACAACCTGGGTTCATAATGACACTCTACCTCAAAGCTCTATGCAGACATTAACTATTTAGGACTCAGAACATCCCGGTGGTTTGATTATCAATATCTTCATCACATGGTGGTAAAACAAAGATATGAAGGAGCCCTAGGCAAGCATTTTTTAAGTGACTAAGGGGACTGGCTGCCTTATTATTGATTTAGTTTCAAACACCTGGAAATAGCCTCATTTCTGGAACTGCAGAGTCTCCAGGCTTTTTCAGAATCTCAAGGTTGCATCCAAACTCCAAATCTCATGCAAGTCCGGGCCATACTGCCTGGACCTGAGACATAGTTAGCCAGCATGTGGCAGAGGCTCGAAAATACTCGAGACTCCTACTTTTTTTTTTGCCTTCATACCTCCTCTCTTTGGAATAAACCACTCAGTAGCATCCCACCATCTTACGTGCTTTTACCTTGCACTTCTTTTCAGGCTCTGTCCCTCAAATGCAGTACTGTGTGACAGACGGATTTGGGTGTGTTTGACAGAGGAATGAGAGGACAAGGTGTTTCACTGTGAATAGTTTTCACAACTAGAGTGACAATCTCTTGGTAGCAATTTAATTTTTAGCTGCTCACTTGTCCCCTCCACCATCTCTGCAAGATTTTTAGGTCTGCTTATGCTTTTCATCCAAATCAGAATATGTAGGCAAAGATAGCTTAGGACTGGAATATATATTAGGAGCGTATCTAAAGACAAATTGAACCTCGTTGAAGATAGTCCAGACTTGGATGAGGACACAATATCAGAGCCTCAAAGCTTGACTAAAGGTTGTTCCTGCTCAGTTGATTGGTTTTGTGGAAAGGGAGGGGGAAGAGGAAGGATGAGGAAGGTGAGCAGAAGGGAGCAAATGACACACAGAGGAGAAGGGATAGCCCTTATTTCCTGCATTTCTGAACCCATCCCTAGCTCTTAGCATTTATCAGGATGATGGAGAATGACCCGGCTAGAGAGCTACTTTGACATAAAGCATATACTGACCTGGAAAAGGATTGGGGAGTGTGGGTAAAACTCGTTCTAAGGGGGGAAAAAAACCAATAAGCAACATGCAGGAGAAAAGGATGAGCCACTTTTCACACCAAGCAAGCAGCAGTTACCAACCTGATGGAGCTGTCCATCCTCAAAGCAGATGAACTAGAGTAAGTTTCATATACAGAGCATTTCACTAGCAACACACCTAATGCACGTCAACATCCTCTGGGACTGGGCGTCAGACAGAAGTTGTTTGAAGAACTAAACAAATAATACCCACACAGCAAGAGGAATTAAGCACCTGCAGTGAAGCTAATTGGAGTTGACAGGCCACATCATCCCTCTGGCTTTCAAGGACCCCTCATGTCATCACCCTACAGCTGCTTTCAGCTATACCTTCTGCTGGAAGCTAGCCTTTGGCAGAGAGGTGAATTGTGGAAGTCCTCCACCTGTAGCTACTGCTTCCATTGAACCTTCTCCACAATGGATTTCTTGTGAGCGACAGGTCCCTTGAGGATGTGGGCATGGGAATATTTGCCCTGCTGAATCCTCACAGGTGGCGTGTTTCTTTTGAGCCTTTGTTTTCCTACAGGAACACAGCTTTTGCAGAACCATCAACCTTTAGTAGTGTGCAGAATCTGCTGTCTTGATTATAGGTTCTTAACAATGCATCCTTGTTATACATCACAGCAGGAAATGGCTATTGCTGGCTTCATGCTTTGCTTTTTCCATGCCAGGATCTCAAAGTATTGCACAGACACTGAGTGACATCAGGAGTCAGAGACCCCAGTCTGAGGTAAAAGGTAGTGTTAATCCCATTTTACAGATACTGCAGGTGATTAACAGAGCAAAGAAGCAATTTGCCCAGGGTCAAATGCTGACTTGCACAGCCAGGAGCAGAACCGAAAATACAAGCCCCTCCTAGACTTGTCTCTAATCAGTGAGTTTCCGTTCATTATCTTCGGAGCTTGCTGGATACCCTGTCCTGACTGAGACAAGTTTCTGCTCAGGGGCTGGCCATTAGGTAATCAGTATAGCTGTACAGACATGCTACTACGCAAAAGCTGATAGGCCTGGAGCAATGAGCTGCCTCCTGGCTTACCTGTGGAAACAGTGCTAAGACCACCATTGATGGACATAGTGCTTGGCAGGTTACGTCGGTAGTCAACTATTCTCCGGTCAGCCTAGTCCCAACTATTTGGAGGCCAGTGCTCTTTATATAGCACCCTTGCTGCAAGGAGCTACTTTTTGACTAGCTAGAGCCCATAGGGACGCAGCAGGTCAACCTCGTCCCTGTGACAATGGCAGATCTCCCACCCTCATGGTGCTAATAGAGCTGTTTGAATCCACAGCAGGCACAGGGGAGATTGTCTCTTGCTAGAAAATACACAGCTAGCCTGGATCTCTATGTTTATGTAGCAACAGGGGACTATTGTTCTGTGAAAGCAGGCTGTTGTGCTGACATGACTTCCTTGTTATTTAGTTTGGTTAAATAACTGAAACTCCCCTTTTCCTTCTTCCTGCACAGCAGGCTGCAGACTGCACAGCATAAGCAGTTAAAGCAAAGCACTACGGCCTCATTATCATGCTGCTTCCTATTCAAGGACTCTACCTCTGTTCCCCTAGCCTGCTGCGTGCTGCCTTTATTGCTCCACCCAAGCTCATTAGCAGTGTCTCAGCCTTGCCCCATCTAACTGTCACCCTAACCACCTCCTTTCCTGTCCTGTGTCTCCCTGTTATTGACAGCCCCTGAGAAAATTCGAGGTTTGCACTGAGCGCCTTGCATTTCAGTCACAGTTATGCTCCAAACGCTGGCAGCAACCACCATAAACAATACTCATGTGCAACAAAGCATGGGCAGAGAGTTAAGAGAAGGGGTAAGTGTGTGCATGGAGCCTACACCTGTGCTGGGGGTAGTGCTGGGGCACTACCAAATAATGATGTTAGAGGCAAGCGCCAACTCTTCTTAAGAATGTGTTTGTTGCTGGGATTATAACTGCTGGACTAAAATGATAACTATATCTGAAGCCTCTGGAGGAGATAGTGGTGGGCTCCTGCTTGTTGCTGCTTCTAATCAGCATGGGCCTTGCCAGCTACTGCTTCACCTCCAGATTTCCTTACTCACTGGAGGTTGCAGAGGATGCAAACTGCAGAGCAAGTGGCAAGGGACCTGGCAGTCTCCTACAATCGAGACAATTTAGCCAGCAGGAGTGCACGAGGACGTGCAGCACAGCCCTGTTGTCGCCTGTTTTATCCTCAGGGATGGGCTAGTTCTGCAGGAGATGGAATTCAACTAATTTGGAACAGCTTTCATTTCTTTTCTCTGCCTTGCTGGAACGCAGCAGGTGCTGTCTGTACTTCTGCGTGCCTGTGGATATGCGTGTACTTGCTTATACCATTGCACAGGTGCGTGCATATAAAATTAATGCATATGTAAACCTACCTATGTATATGCTTGTATGGCAGATGTGCATCTGGTGTGCATGTGCATACGGTTATACTTGGGTGTAGCATGGGTTGAGATACAAATGTTGGCTTTGCTCCTAATGTTTCCCATAGCATTCGGTTAGCTTAGTGTAATGAAAAGAAAACAAGTTCCTTCTCTCATAATACACTTCGGAAAAAAGCTTTCCCTTTTTTGGCACTATGTTTCATCTCTCTTGTTCTGTGATGCAGCCCTGGCTTGACCTCTCTGCTGGACAATTTTCACAGAGATCCTCTCTCCCATGACTGTTACTGCCCTTTTCCTAGCTCTCACAGTATTTTCTGCTTGTGGAGGTTACAAACCATGTTCCTAGGCTACTGCAGAGCTGAACCAATGTAATGGCTCACTGATGCTGAAGAACATGGTCCTCCCTCCAAACTCCTCATATCCAGATGCATGGTATGGTTCCCTCTCTTGCCTGGGCTTGGGTGCTTGGTCATCCCTTCCCTCAATTAATTCAGCTCACTAAAACAAAAGACAACTTTTGGGATTATTTGGAGGCAGATGAGCTTGGTTATGCTTTTGCTCGTTTAGCATGTTGACCAGCTCAGTTGGTCATCACTGAGTACCAGAGTAAGGGAAGCAATGGCACATGGCAGAGAACAGGGTGAGCATAAGGAACGGGGATGAAGGGATGGCAGCAAGCTATTAGATCCGTTGCACCATCAAACAGTACCTGCATGCTCTTTCTGTAAACATGTTCCTGGTTGCTGTTGGAGACCAGATCCTGGGCAAGACAGACCTTTCTTCTGACCCAGTATGGCCATTTGTATGTTGCTATAAACTCAGTCTCCAGGAGTGAGGGGTATAAATCTCTCCACCTGCAGCAGGCAATACTGCTGCAGCATCACTTAACAAAGATCACTACCCACCTATTCATATAGCTACAGCGAGCTGCTTTTGTATTTTAATGCATCTTCTGTCTATGGCACAGACATCAAAGAAACTCAGTTTCTCTGAGAGTTTTTCAATGGTAGCAGAGATTTCCCGGAAATCACCCACCTTTCTCTATCGCTAAACTGTTCTTTCGTATCATTTTGCTAGCTCCCCTTTTGCCCTCCACCTAAGGCAAAGATGCTAGTACCTCATCACTAACTCTGGTTGTTTCTTCACTGCTGACTGCCATTTTTTCACTGCTATGGGGCATTGAGGAACCAGCGTTGTACCTGCTTCCCCAGTGGGATGCTGCCCTACAGTGAGCTTGTTCTCTGTTTAGAAAAGAAATAAAATCCCTCCCTGCTGATTCAGTCCACCTGATTCTAGGAAAGAAAAATCACTCAAAGTATTTGAGTATTTGCTGTACCTTGCAAAAGCTTGGCACTGCTTCTTCTTCCTGCCTGGGTGTGTGGCTAGGAGTGTGCATTGTCTGCTATTTCAGCTGTTGGGTGACCTGTAAAGCACTTTTTCTTCCAGCTGGGCTCATAGTTTTTTTGTGCTGCTTTCTTTAAAAGGCTTGATTCCCTTCACTCATCTCCTCCCTGATTTTTTTAACCTTAGAAATAGCAACTCCAGTCTGCCTGGGTTTATTTTTTTTCTCTCTTTCTCTCTTCCATACTAACTAAAAGGAGAACAGATATTTCTCCAAACAATATTCATAATGGCTTTCTCTCTCCGCAGCACTGAATAGTGAAGAAATTGGGATTAACTAAGCAACAAAAATAAAAGCTAGAAACAGTCTGACAAAAATCAGCAAATCTCTCCCAGCTCTCGAACCTCCATTCTCTTGGCTCTTGTGATGTTGCTACTTCACAAGTTCTCTAGCACTTTCCAGCATAAACAGGACTTGAATTTCTAAGGTAAAAATGATAAACAAAACCCAACAACTTCAAAGAAGGAAAACTTTCTTCATACGCATCAGAGGAAGACTAAAATAGCACGACTCACTTTTTATTTCCTTGTTGCAAGTCATCTTTAATAGTTGCCATGTTTCCCCTAGAATAGGTAATGGCAACTTCACAAGATCTCCCTGGGGTCTCTTACATGTTCTGCCACTGACGTTATAATCATGGGTAAATCGTTTCTTCACTCTGTTTCTTAGTTTACTACTGCAAAATGGTGCTAATAACACTTACCCATTTCCAAATAACTTGTGATGTTAAAATATTCATTGCTAGCAAGTCCTTTGAGATGCTTAGAGGTGAAGTACTGAAGTCAGCCAAAGTGCTTTTTGAGCAAAACCAAACCCTATCTAAAATCATGTGCACATACATTATAGAGTTTTATCTTATACTATGTTTCAGTGGTGCATTTCAGCTCATCTGTATAAGAGCAATCAATGGAGAGGTCCAAATTTAGAATTCAGCCACAAATAATGGATTCTAAACTTAGCATTATTATTAATACCAGCAAGAACAAATCTGCAGTATTTGAAAACTGTGTTCCAGATTGCTGCCTGGAGATTTTATTTGAATCTCATGACAGTCACAAGATCAGGGTGAAAAAGACATTCAAAGTAGAAATTTGCCTTGTTTGTGTGCCCCAATGCTACAGGAAATCAAAGATATCTTATTTTATGATAATGTCCTTATCTATCCTTTTGAGGGGGAAAAACAACGTCCATGGAATGCCCCTCAATTTTACAAAGATTCAAACTGCAATGAAATAAATCCAGAGGTGGCAGACACAGAATACCAATGGATTTGTCCTTCTGCACTATGTCCATTAAAAAAAGTAACTGTTTCCCTGATGCTTTGAGTAGTCTAACCACAGACAGGAGAAACCAGACTAAACTGCTTCTCAGAATAAGACTGCTTTGCACATCTTATCTTTTGTTCTGTTTATAAAGGTCCTGGCCTGGGTATTTTAATTCAGTTTGTGATTTTCACAGGAATACAGACCCCACTCACTTTTGCGTCTGTGGGACCATTCATTTGAATGGCTCATTCTGTTGCAGCCTATTTCTGGTGGCAATAACAATGTGCAGTGAAAGTTGAGTCCTAGTTTTAGACTTGGAATCCAGAATTGCATTTTGAATACTCCACAGTTTACATGCGTATGTGAGGGAGGTGAGGGGTAAGGGCTTTAATTTAGAGTCAGATTTGAATCAGCTGCAAAATTTAGAACTAGCAAGTAATTCTGTTCTGGAGTTTAGTCTAGTATCAACTTTTGTCTGTTAAAGTTTACTGCAATAAACTCAATAATTGGAAGGCAGCAGAAGAGAGATCCAAGGAATTTTATTCCATACTTCATCTGCTGATTACCTTTTTCCCAATGTTCCCTATGGTATGTCCCTTTAAATCATCCTATCTTTTCCCACTTTTGCAGGCTTTTTTTTCCCCCTTCCATTTTCTCTCATTTTCAAACTCACTTCTTTTTCTTGACTCTCCCTTGTTCTCCTCAGGCTCGGTGGCTAGTTCTCTCCATCTCTTTGAATCACTTGCCATTTCTCAGCTGTCATGGACCCTCCAAGCCCTTGCCTTCTGTTTCCTTATTAAAGGGGCTGTCACTCTAAAGGGGTTTTTGTTTCCATCTTAAAAAAAACATGGTTT